AATAAGCTGGGCTTTGGACCAAGTAGGATTGTCAAGATAAATTAGAGTCTGGAAAAAGCTCCCAAAGCCAGACCAGATTTTTGGGTTCAGCAATTCTTCCCCCAACCCTCCCCAACCATGGGTTTTGCTAAGAAAGTTGTAGTGGAGGAAGGGCTGGTAAGAAGAGAGAAATTGCTTAGTTGTATGCATTCCTGTGGTGGTTAGATTCCAGGTCCCTTCCTGGAGATGAATCCAAAGATGAACCAAAAATATATGAGACTGTAGCCAAGCCTCTCCCAGTTAAGCTCCTGAAAACATAAAAAGGCTGTGACTTAGGAAGTTGAGAGTTGGGCTGATCACATGTGATTTCAATTTAATTAAAACCAAAACCCAGACCTAGATCTACGTGACTCTAAAATAAATATGAATGATCACGTCTCACCCTAATTACCAGATAGAGAAAAAGATTGCACTCTCTGGGGGAAATAATTACAACCAATTTAAATGTTATACTTCAGCCACCACTGTTCTTTTATACACAACATCTGGAATATAATAAAAAATTATGAAGCATGATAAGAAACAAGGAAATAGGATCTATTATCAAAAGAAAAGGTAGTCAGTAGAAACAGACCCTTAGAATCCAGTTATTGAAATTAATAGGACGTTAAAACAGCTATTGCACATATATTTTTTAATGCTGTGGGAAAATGGACATAATGGGTACAAAGATTGGGTATTTCAGAAGAGAAATGACAAATTCCTAAAAAGAACCAAATAGAAATTCTAGAACTGAAAAACAGAATGTCTGAATCAAACAATTATTAGAAGGGCTTAACATTATGTTGAATACTGAAGAAATAAGGGTCTTGAAATGAACTTAAAGACAGACAACTGATGTGTCTGTATTAATCAGATAAAATAGACTTTCAAGCAAGAAGTATTACCAAATGAAAGGATATTTCATAATGGTAGAAGGGAAAGTCATCAAGAAGAAAATAGTTCTAAATGTGTATGAAGTTCAAATTATGTCAAGCAAAAATTGATAGAAATAGGCCAGGCACAGTGGCTCACACCTGTAATCCTAACACTTTGGGAGGCCAAGTGGGGGCGGATCACCTGAGGTAAAAATTTGAGACCAGCCTGGCTAACATGGCAAAATCCCGTTTCTACTAAAAATACAAAAATTAGCTCAGTGTCGTGGCAGGTACCTGTAATCCCAGCTACGTGGGAGGCTCAGGTGGGAGAATCACTTGAACCCAAAAGGCAGAGGTTGCAGTGTACCAAGACTGTACCATTGCACTCCAGCCTGCACAACAAGAGCAAAATTCCATCTCAAAAACAAAAAAAATTATAGAAAAACCAGGTATTATAGTTGGAGATCTTAATATACTTCTCTCTCAATAATTCATAAATAGACAATAATTTAGAAAGAATATAGAAAATTGGAATCACCCTATCCAATCATCTTAACTTAATTGACATTTATAGAACACTACACCAAACAATTGCAGAATACTTATTCTTTTCAAATGCACTTAGAATATTTGCCTAGATAGAACACATGCTGAACCATGAAAAGAAGTCTCAATAGAGGTCAGAATACAGAAGTTGCACAGAGTATGTTCTTGGAACACAGTGGAAAACAATAACATAAAGATATCTAGAAAAATTCCCAAATATCTGTACATTTAACAACACATTTCAAAGAAGGAATCACAAGGAAAAGGAGAAAATATATTGAACCCAATTATAATCAAAATACAACATGTCAGAATTTGCAGGATGTACATAGTAAAGCAGTGCTTAAAGGGAGATTTACAGCTTTAAGTGCTTGTATTAGGATAAAAAATGGTTTAAAAGCAATGCTCTCTTCTTCTACCTTAAGGAGCTACTAAAAGAAAAGGCAAATTAAACACAAAATAAGTAGAAGGAAATGAATAATAAAGAGCAGAAATCAATGAAACAGAAAAACGAAGAGAGACAGCAAAACCAAAAGTTGGTTAATTAGAAAAATAAATTTGTTTAAAAATTATGATTGTGAAAAAGAGAAAACATAAAATTTCAACATCAAAAGTGAAAAGGGCCAGGTGTGGTGGCTCACCCCTGTAATCCCAGCACTTTGGGAGGTCAATGTGGATGGATCACCTGAGGTCAGGAGTTTGACCAGGTCAGCCTGGCAACATGGTGAAATACTGTCTCTACTAAAAATACAAAAATTAGGCTAGGCATTATGGCTCATGCCTGTAATCCTAGCACTTTGGGAGACCTAGGAGGGAGGGTAAATTGTCTCAGCTCAGGAGTTTGAGACCAGCCTGGGCAACATGGTGAAACCCTGTCTCTACTGAAAATACAAAAAATTAGCTGGGCATGGTTGTGGGCTCCTGTAATCCCAGCTATTTGGGAGGCTGAGGCAGGAGAATCATTGAACCCAGGAGGTGGAGGCTGCATTGAGCCAAGATAGCACCATTGCACTCCAGCCTGGGTGACAGAGCAAGATTCCATCTCAAAAATAAATAAACAAATAAATAAATAAAAGTGAAAGAGAGGCATTACTAGAGATGTTATAGACATTAAAGTAAGAAAAGAGAATATTGCAGTCAGTGTTACACCAATAAATTCAATGACTTTGACAAAAATGAACAAACTCCTTGAGAAACACAAATGAACAAATCTGACAAGAAATAGAAAGTTTGAATAGTCTTATGTTTGTTGAGGAAATTATATTCAAAATTGTAAAACCCTCCCACAGAGAAAATTCTAGGGTCAAATGACTTCACTGATGAATTTTCAACAAATGTTTAAGGAAGAAGTGATGCCAACATTACACCAATTTATAAGCATTAGAGATTGTTATTATTATCAATATTGTTTTCATAAGTCTCCTCCCTCAGTTGTCAGCTTCCTTCTTAAAGCAGACAGAATTTTTCATAGTCTTCCAGGAAAACTGTGAATTCAATGGAAGATGACCTTGTAAATCCTATCCTACCTTTCCTATTTGTGTTCCTTTGAATTAGAATGGTGTGTGGTGTTCATGAAACACCCTATATTGCTGTTGCCTCTGACTAATCTTTTCTAATCTTTTTACACAAAATCACTTGTTCCTCTGAGACTTGAGAAGAAGGGCTATCAAGCCATAAAGAGGTGTTATAAAAAAGCTTTTCAGTGTTCTATTACACCTGTTTTTCTGGTAATTTTAAAATAACAACTAACACTTTATTTGCTGCTTCTTTAGTATTCTTGTATAAGCCCTTTCTGGAACTGACAAAGAATTATTCAGATTATGTGTTTCCTGCTTTCATTTGGTTTTATATCATAGGGTCACATTAAAATTTGTACAGTAAATGGAAAATCTTTGAGCAATCACAATAATGGCTGGAATAATCTTTCCTTTTTTCCTGTCCTTCCTCAGAAATACTAAGAGCTGGTTAGACTACATCCTTTAGAAACATTCTTTATCACTATTGTTTGATGTAGTTCTAGCCACATCTTACACAGGAGGCATCCAGACTTGTTTGAGTTGAAGTGACTGAGGATGTGCTTTTCAGAGACCCCAGGAAACTGGCAGTGTTGACTGAAGAATAGTCATAGTAAGAATGAATGGCTAAGCATTTATAACTAAGTCAGTGATGAGGCACCTACTGCTCTGGATACCTCTATCGTGGTTTCTTTACTCTTTCTCCAGCAGTATAAATCTGAATGTTTTAGACCTCAAGGTGTCTGGCCTTAGTAAAAAATAGTTTTCTGATAGACTATGATATTCTACTCTTTAGAGCACAGACTAAGCTGCTATAACTGAGAAACTCAAAAATAGAATAGCTTTTTATTAGCCTGTTCTCATGCTGCTAATAAAAACAGACCTGAGACTGGGTAATTTATAAAGGAAAGAGGTTTAATGGACTCACAGTTCAGCATTGATGGAGAGGTTTCATAACTATAGCAGAAGGCAAAAGGAGCAAAGGCATGTCTTACATGGCAGCAGGCAAGAGAAAGCTTGTGCAGGGGAACTCCCACTTATAAAACCATCATGTCTTGTGAGAAGTATTCACTACCATAAGAACAGTATGGGGGAACTACACCCGTGATTCAGTTATCTCCACCTGGCCCCACCCTTGACACATGGGAATTATTATAATTCAAGGTGAGATTTGGGTGGAGACACAGCCAAACCATATAAGCTTTAATAAGATAAAAGTTAATTTTTCTCTCTATCTGGTTGTGGATGTCCTTTGTATAAAGTTAAAAGTTTTAGTTCTGTGGTTGTATTTTTTTTCTTTCATATTTTTGAGTTAACATTCATTGAGTATCTACTCTGTTCTAGGTGAAGTGCTCAGGACTGGGCACACTCAAATTAATAAGGGTTCTTGTCCTCAAGAAGGTCAGGATCACATTTCTTGTGGGTGTGCATGCATGCATGTTTTTGGGGAGGGGCAGATGTTACAATTAAATAGTCTTTAAGTGTGATAATATTATATTGTTACTGAGTGCAGATTTTAATGTTGTCACCACACACACACACACACACACACACACACACACACACACACACAAATGGTAACTAATGGATGTGTCAATTAATGTAACTGGTAATCAGTAGACAATATATATCAAACCATGATGTTGTACAACTTGAATAATATACAATGTTTATTCATCAATTAAATATTTTAAAATAAAAAGGAAAATAAAAGTGTAGTAGAGATAGAAGGAAATGAAGGCCAAGTAAGGAATTAAAGATAGATCTTCAAAGAGATTAAAGTTATTATTTTTTATTATAATACATGTAATAATAAGTCATTTGTCCCTGAGAAGCATCTTTGTTTTCACCCTTTTATGGCTTGAAAGCAGGTATCAACAATTCTTTGCAATCATCTTAAAGAATGTTTCTTACTATTGAGACAATAGCCAGCAATATTCATCTTACTGAATATTTTTTAAGGGATGAGGGCAATTGGCATTCCATGGCTCATTCCACTATTATTTCACTCCAAGAAATCCCTGTAGACCTTCCTCTTTTTCAGCTCTCCAATCCTGAGGTCAAAATGGAATGTGTCTTTGCTCTTCCTCTGGGCATCATCTAATTTTTATGTTCTAGTTTTCCTTGTACTGAAATCTACAGCACCCTCTCTTAGCCCCTCAATCAGCCTTTCTTCTGCAGAGCAGCTTAGTTCTATTTAGCAACTACAAACCTATTCACGTGCCTCCAGAGTTCAGCAGTGTCTTTTAAGTACGGAATAGGTCATTCTTTTGCATTTTATTGAGATGACTACTTTTAAAAAATTGGTTGCTGCCCAGAACTGTTAAGAATATCACTTGCTTTAGTTAAGTGAGTGAAACAAGATGTGGTAACACAGGTTTGGGGGACTAGGGTTGGGCAATGTGGTAGCACATGATTTTGTTACTTGAGATTATCTATAATTGTATATATCAGTGACCAGGGTGATATGAAGCTCACAGGGGCTCTTGAAGTTCTGCTTCTTTTCTACTCCTTAATACAATACAATATTTAGGTTCATCTTTTCAATTTTCCTGGAGAAATTAAATACTGTACCATAATATATAAGTAAGTAATTTGAGGAAGGGCATGAATGGAGAGGAGGCAGGAAAACATTCTAGGTTGGAAAAAATGGCAGAAATAATGTTGGGGCATTGGAGTGATGGTGGAGGTGGGAATAGAATTTAGGATCTCTTCATCCCATACTATGCTTCTATCTTCATAAAATTAGTATGGCCAAATACTAAATCAGCTCATTTCTAGCAGGGAAGAATAGGATGAATATGTCTTTCTAGCTGTCCTTGAGATGTAAATCTCCTGTCGTAGCTTCCTTAGTGGTCACCTCAAAGGTTTTGTTATCTCTAGGATAGATGCTACAAAGTGGGCAGTACTTGTGTGAGTGTGTGTGTGTGTGTGTGTGTGTGTGTGTGTATCAATTTTTTAAAATATGACAAATAGAACTAGGGGCAAGAGAAGGATGGACAGAGGAGCCTGTGATGGAGTGGTAGACACTAAATGTTTTCCAGTTGTAAGTAGCAGAGGAGGAAAAGGGAGACTGGGTAACACTTTTTCAGACCTTCATCATGTAGTCCATTTTATGTTCGAATATTAGCAAACCTACTCCAGCTTTCTTAAACAGTAGGGTTTTTATTACAACATGGTTAAGAGAGTAGGCTTAGGAGTAAGACTGCTTGAATTTAAATTCTTGAGATCCTGAGTAAGTTACTTAATCTTGGTGTCTCAGTTTCTTCATTCCAATTAAGTAAATACATTTCAATTAAATTATATTAGTAAATGTAAAGCACATAGAAAAGTGCTTGGTTTCTGGTGAGTTTTCAATAGTGTTAACTATTATTTGTTGTTATTATTTTAGCAAAACCAACCTCCCAAACCTGTGAAGTCAGTTTACAGAAAGCCAGCAGGAAAAGGAAAATAAGAAGATTCTTTACTTTGCTGTCATTTGATACACTGAGCATTTTAAATGACTATATTTATAGTATTAACTGTGCCTTTCCACAAAACTATGTGTGTGCATATGAATTATAGGGCTTTAATTTGAAACTGATCTAAATATGTAGTTACTTTAATCATACAACAAACCTACCAAATATTTAGCAAAAATTATCATGGTGACTAAATACAGAAAAGCTGCCGCTACCAACACCTGCACCCAATTGACTGCACAGGATGAATAATTGGATGGTGGTGTAAAGAATGCTCATGAGGACTAGGCTGCTGCTAATTAGATCTTCTATGCTATTTAAATGTTCTCCAAGCTTCAGGGAGTGCCCTGAAGGCAGTTGGACATTAGCCTTGTGGTTTTTGAGGTTAACCTACAGTTTGTCAGCAGAGGGGTGGAGGTGAGCACCATGGGACTTTTCCCAGGCTGCTGGTTAACATACTGTAGTTTTAATCCTTTAAGCCAATAAAGGGGGGAGAGAGAAAGAAGACAGACTGAAATTAGAGGAAAAGAGAGAAAGAAAGGGAAAGTAGAAGTAATAATAATATTTATGAAATGTCTTCTTTGGGCCAGATACTTTTTAGGAACTTTCACATATTGTCCTTACAACAACTCTGTGGTAAATATAAGATTATACTATCTGCGTTAGTAACATTTTTGGGTGCCTATACAACTATTTCTCTTTACTTTTTTTCTTGCTGATAGAAGCATCACTTTTTTTTTTTTTTTTTTTTTTTTAGTATTTACCTCTCAAATAGAACTTATGTTCCATCCTTCAGCAATAGGTGTAATTCTGAAAGGTCATTGTTTTGCAATTATCCTTGAAAGGAAATGCTTGGGCATAACAACAGATAAGATTCTAGCCAATGAAACGTGATGAGAAGATTACCAGAAGCTTCTGAGAAAGGTTTCTTTATTCTTTAACAAATGGTTGTACCTGCACAGGATGCCTGAGAAGGAGTGACCTTGGGATCAGAAAAGGAGCCAGCTTGAGGACAAAGCAGACAAACTGAAGTGCCACCTATCATTGAATTGTTGTGCATGAGTATAAACATTCTCATTGTTTAATCCTTCTGTGGGAGATGTTTTACTATGTATAGCAAAGTCATTCTGACATACCATTTTCCATTTTCTGAGAAAACTGAGGTACAGAAAGGTTAACAAACTTGCCTATATTTGCATGCATAATGAGGAGTAGAGACAGCAGGTTGTGCCTTCTAATATACAGACAAGATATGACTCTTCTAAACAGCACATACATACACACTCCAATATGACAATTTCCATCTTTGAATTGGCAATTTAATCCATTTATACTTATTGTAATTACTGATATATCTGTTTTTACTGTTTTGATTATTATTTCGCTATGTTCCATTTTTTGTGCTTTTTTTTTTTAAATGCTTTTTACCTAAGCATTTAAAAAAACACAAAAAGTGGAAAATAGGCATCCTGTGCAGGTACGACCATTTGTTAAAGAATAAAGAAACCTTTCTTAGGAGCTCCTGGTAACCTTCTCATCACCTTTCATTGGCTAGAATCTTATCTGTTGTTATGCCCAAGCATTTCCTTTCAAGGTTAGTTGCAAAACATTACAGAAACAAGGTAAGAAGTCTACATACTCTTAGACTCATAAAACTCTCTTCCTGCTTTTCTCTACCCCAATTCTACCATGTCAATATTATCTAGAAATTTAATAATAAGTTATTTGGATAAAAGATGTAGTGACAAATTCTTAATGCTCACATTTTTGACTTTGCTTTTGTTTTTGTTTTTAATTTGGATAGCAATAGTCACAATGATTTTATATTTTATTTAATACTCAATTATAACATAACACTATCAAAGGTTGTAAACCAAAGGGAGCCCTTGTTTGTCTCCCAACATTACTGAGTCCCAAGCCAGTATACTCTGCTTACCCTTGCTTGGATAAATTAAAAAAAAACCAAAAAACAAAAAAAACCAGAAGGTAGAGATTACAATGAGCAACCAAGGTAACAGTTGCTTAGGACCACATAATCAAGCAGGTCCACCAAGAAAAGGGCAAGTTCCTGACTCAACCACCACTCCAGGAATGGGCAAAATGGTCAAGAAAAGAGATATCCTCAAAGTAAATCCCTTTTGGGAAGGAATGGATGGGCCCTTGGAAGAATAGATGATGGTTTGTGACAGTCTGTCTGTCTGTGATGGACTTCTGGCCTCCTCTCCTGCGATTTTGGGATTTTCCACATGGCCCCTTTGGAAGTTTCCATTTGGAAACTTCTCCTTGTAGAAAGAGATATATTGGACTAATTGGACTTATTTTATATGTTAAATTATATGGGAAGCATTGTCAAAGAAGTAATGCTAAACCTCCTTTGAGTTGTATTTGTATGGATATTTTATTATTTCAGGAATCGTATGAAATTCATAGAAATCTAATAGTCCTGTTCTTAATCATTATCACATCCTGAACAAGACTATGACCAATTGGACTCAAACGCTTTTGAGCTGCCTATATTTCCTGAACTTTGATTTGGGTCAAATTGATTTGGTTCACAGAGGCTCCTGTTAGGGAGTACACCTCAGGCTTTCCATATTGTCCTCCTAATAGTCATCATAGTAGGTCCCCTGATGTACCATATTCTTTCAAGTCTTAAACATTTGTATGCAACCATCCACTGAGTGTTGAATGGTCTCACTTTGACTAGATCAACAAGAACCGAAAGAATTATTCAACTGATGTGATGTCATGACTTGTGAATTTCATGCTGAGTCCAAGTAAGTTTATTTATGATGGTGACAAAGAGTGGCATCAATGCCCCAGGTTTTGAGAGGTGGCATTGTTAAACTTAATTTGAGAGGATTGTTAAACTAAATTTGACTGGGAATGCCTCCATACCTGAGGTTTTACTAATGAACTGCAGCCTAACTTAGTACTTAACACTAACTGAAAACCAAACTTAGGCGTATACTATTGTCACAAACAACTGCGTCACAGCAAATCACAGCAACTGAGCTTCAATGAATCGCAGGCAGCCAACTCATCAGACCATGTTCACTTAAGGCAAATGCTGAATAAGGAAAATACCCGCTGTAATCAATGGAGCTCTGTACCTCACTTCCGTTTTCTGTTCATAAGTGCTATCTGATCACACTGCAGGCCAAAATTCTCTGAACCTGTTCTAGTTTCTGAGGGCTGCCAAATTCGTGAATTGTTCTTTGTTTAATTAGGTTCTGTTAAATTTAATTTGTGTGAAGTTTTCCTTTTAACAACTGAAGCATGCAGCAAGTCTGACATCATTAGGCAATTGCGATTCTCTTTCCTGCAGAGCTGAGACTCTGCCTCCTGCCTGATTCTCAAAGCAGAGCTGCAGGCAGCAGCAACACTAATTGTATAGGGCTGGCACACTAGACAAAACCAATTTGCCACCCCTGCTCTAAGGCTTTTTCTGACTTCACTCCAAAAGGAAATAGACTAGTGCCCTGCTCACTCCCTGAGGTACTTACTGTCTTTGCTAAGGTATAATGCTTTTCCTGTATTAATGTGTTTTCCCTCCAGGAATATATTTCTATTTAAAATGCAGGGAGTGTTTTAATGTGGAGGAATGACCCTAATGATAGAAGTTTTAATAAGTCAAATGAACAGAAAGGCAAGACAACATCACAAAAAGAGCACCAGTTTTGGCAGAGCAGGCACTCAATAAATGGAAGTTCCACTTCTTCCCTTGTGCTAAGTGTCTCCTAATTACCTACCACTGTGGTAAAAGCCCAAGAAACTCTAAGATATAAACCTCTTCTTTAAGAAGGCTTTATTTGTACTGATGAGGTGATATGGGAAAATATTTTTCTGTAAGTACAGAGTAGCAGCAGACTGGCCAATACAATTAATTTAAACTTGAGAAAGAATAGAGAAAAAGACAGCCAGTCATCTGCTGTGTAGCCTAAGCAGTCTCAAAACAGCAGCTGAGTTTTTTCATGGAACTCTTCTGGATATTGGAAGGCAGACTAAATGCTTTACTTGCTGCCCAGCAACACGAAGATGGAAAACACATCTTTTGATTAATTAAAAGCAAAAGGTTGGAACTACTTACCTTTCCATTCTTTAATTAACAAAGCCCACAGGCCACATGAGGAAGTAATAACACTCATTATGTTGTGATGAAGGACTGTGATGATGAGTTAAGTCAGATGGGACTCCAGGCACGATTCCCTTCAAGGCTTCCCCAAGATGTGCCCCGAATGTAGGCAGATCCTTACTTGTTGAAGAACTCTATCTTGCCAGTGTTGGCATATGCTTTTTCAGAGAGTGAATTCCCTTTTGCAAAGGAAAGAAAAGTCCTTAAAACAAAAGGTTATATTTTAATTAAGCCTAAGCATCCTTTCTGTAGTTTCCTTTATTGAAAGAATGCTTCCTTTTATTTGTATCTGTTGGTGTTAGTCTTTGGAACAAAAAGAGATTGATCCCTTCCAGGCAGAACTGTCCCATCTGAATGATCAAAGCCTTGCCAGCTGACATACAAACCAACAAATTATTTTCTTTTTGTCCCTTAAATCTCCCAGGAAGCACCTTTTGAAAGATAGTCTTCATTCCTCAGGCTTCAATCACCATCCTTCATGCCAGTGGGTGGTCTCAAGGAATTTGAGGAAATGGCAAACACTCATTCTACCTGCAGGTGGAAGCCCAACACCCCCCGACCCCCGACCTGTCAACTTCCTCCAGAATCCTCAGAGGGTTTTTTTTTTTTCTGTGTCACCAAGGCACCGCTGAAATGGGTTAGTCAAATAGCTTTCTACTCGTGAAGAAAGTGAGCTTTGATATGTATTTGCTTCTCATTCAACTATAGCTGCACCAGTTAAAATGCTGCCTTACATGCATGTAAAGGAAAAATAAAACAGCAGGCTCAGTTTTCAGTCTTCAGTCCACTCTGTGATGGGCATAAGAAATAATAGCATTAGTATGAAACATTGAGTATCAGGATTTTTGCCTTCATTTCCCATTTTTTTTGGAAATTAAATTCAGTGCCTCTATTATCTTTAAGAATCAGGGATAATGATGATATTCCCCCCACCCCAGAAAGAAAATAAAGGCCTATAAAAAGACTCTTTTTAGTGCTCTCAAGGGGAAACCCTGAATTGAGAAGCAACTGGGTTTTCTAGAAGTCCAACAAATGTACTTTTTAAGGTGGCTCTCTGATGGAATGCTTATGGAAAATCCTTGCTTCTTCACTTGAAAGTTTGCATTCACCAAGTCTGATTGTGTAATAGAGGTTATCCTTTTTAAATTAAATGATTTCTAAACAAACTTTACTTACATTTCCATTTTTGCTTTTTAAGAATACACTGATTGAGTCTTTTTAGGAAATTTACACACTTTGTGGCTAACTTTGCATGCCACATTGCAGCATGTTGTAAGTTTTATAGCTCTTGAAATACCATGTTAACAGTAGAAATGCTGATGCTTCTATGATTACAGTGGTCCAACTGCAATGCTATAATCTCTGTCATTGAAAAACCTCATGCTGCCAAAACCTTGAAGATGATCTGAATTGTGGATGGTTTTAAAACTAGCTGTAGGCAATCCTATTACTGGGCATATACCCAAAGAAATATAAATCATTCTATTACAAAGATACATGCACACGTATGTTCATTTTGGTACTATTCACAATAGCAAAGACATGGAATCTCTTTCCTGAACTCCACACCTATATCCAGCAGCTTATTGGCATATTCTCTGGAAAGTCTAGTAGGCATCTCAAAATTGATGTCCCAGTGGTGTAGCCCATTTCCCATACTCCTGTTGGGAAAGGTCTGTGATCTGATCCTCTTCTTCCTGTTCTGTCTGTCTGTATCATGAACACATGTTGCAAGGTCTCATGAAAGAGGGTGCATTCCAGAGTCCCTGTTTTAGATTAGACAGAAGCAAACATTTACTACCTCCATTCTA